GGGAGGGGGGGAGAAAGAGGGAGGGAGAGAGAGAGAGAGAGAGGGAGAGAGACAGAGAGAGAGAGAGAGAGAGAGACAGAGAGAGAGGGAGAGAGAGAGAGAGAGGGAGAGAGACAGAGAGAGAGAGACAGAGAGAGAGAGAGAGACAGAGAGAGAGGGAGAGAGACAGAGAGAGAGAGACAGAGAGAGAGAGTCGGGGGTTTCCAGGACGCGCTCTGCTCCTCTGAGCGCACCTCAGCACGGGGCTCTTTAAATGAGATTCAATTCAAAATTGATTATTGATTGATTGACCCTCCTGTGTTCAGCCGCTGCGCACGAGCACAGGAATAAAGAAGGATCCGACTCGCGCTCGCACAACTCTCATTGTTCAGATGAAGTGCGCGTGAAAACAGCATCAACAGATGAAGTGGAGCTGCGGGAAGTGTTTGACATGCAGTAATTACAGGGTGCTTTTGGGAGGGAGCGTGAAACATGACTCCTCCGCAGTAAGAGGTGTTTTTAACGAAGAATCATCCGATACAAAAGCGGTGGCGTGAGCCCGGGAGACGTCACCAGTCCCCGCCTCGAATTATAAAAATCAATTGTTCGATTTTTTCCCCCCAAAATCAGAATAGATGGTCGGAGGATCATCTGGCTGCCAGACGCACAAGGACGCGCGGCTGCGGGAGACACCAGAACATCTGGACAAGTCAGACTGAAAGACAAACTCTCCTCAGTGGATCAGTGTCACTTCAGATCCCTGATCATTTGACTGGAAAAGGTGTGAAGAATGCGTCGCACCTCTGCCTGGGTTGGCTGGGCGCTGTGTTTGTGCGCATCTTTGTCCGTGAGCGCGCAGGACTACCCCGAGGACGACGAGCTGATCCTGGATCTGATCCGTGAGGACAAGACTCAGCCTGAATCCGGAGCCGAGCCCGCGGCCGAGTTCCTCAGGTGCAACAAGGTAAGAGGAGGCGGTGAGGCGCATCTTCTCCAGAGCGCCAACAGCCTGTTCCTCCATGAGTTAGAGTTTAAAGTCTTCATCTGTTTATTGAGCAGATTTCACTCTTTATTAATGAAGGATCTTCTTCTTATAATGAACCATTAAGTCTGTAATTATAAATATAAACATTGAAGCTTTTGCGGCCGTTGAGTGAAATAATCCTGTTGTTCTGATGTTCTAATCTTTGCTGGTGGATGCAGAAAAAGAAAGTGATGTTGAAGAGGAAACATATGAACCTTTATTTAAATAAACCCACATTCACTTTTATTATATTTATCTGCATGCGCAGAAAATAAGTGACAGTTTTACGTCTCTAACCTGCAAGCGCCTCATTTCTCCTGTCCACGCGCCGGGACAGACAGAGCACCTGTACTCTCTGTTCTCTCTGCTGTGCTCCAGCCAGCATGGCGCGTGCCCGGTCAGTACCTGGTCATAATGCGTCAGGGGACGCACGAGTCTCACGTGCAGAGGAGCATCAGGAGGCTGAGAGCCAGAGCGGCCAGGAGAGGCTTCCTGCTGGAGATCCTGCAGACCTACTCCGGAGCTGTGCGCGGCTTCCTGGTCAAGATGAGCAGTGACGTCCTTCACCTGGTAACAGCTCCACCTGTCCACTAACTACAGACTTAACACGTGGTGGTGAATAAAAACAATGTGCTTTAACTTGGTGATCAATGTGAGGACACAAACCTGGGCTTCAAATATCAACAATCAAATAAATGAATTTATTTCGTTTTGCTCCAGTGAATCTACTGAGACTTCCAAACTGATGGAGGCAAAATATGAAAAAGTAGAAATATGAGAAATGTTTTACAGCAAAACAAAACACAGAGATGGTTAGAAATTATTTAAAAAAGTAAATAAAATCCAAATTATAAGATAAAATGAGCTGAGTTAGAAAATTATTATTGATCATTTATAAAACAACAAGATGTCTGGCTGTGAACAGGGCAGTGTGGAGTTAGCAGATTTCATGACCACGAGTGAAATTAAACTTCTGGCCCAACATCTGCCTGGGTCCTCGGCCCGAGTCTGGCCCATATACTTCCACATCTGGGCAGATTCTGCTTGTTATCCTCCAGTATTGACTGTCAGCTGCAAGATCTTCTGTATGTGCACCAGAATTAGTCCAGACGTGGGAGTAGCATCTGACAGTCATTCTGTATGAGTGTAAACTGGTCCAGAAGAAACACAAGCTTAAAAGAGTGACAGGTGACTCAGGGAAGCAAAGGCTGGAGTAATTAAAGCTTGTTCGTCTGCTCAGACTGACATGATGAATCTGGGGATGATATAGCGAATAATAGCGGACCCAGGCTAGATCCCTGAGGAATCCCACAAAAAGAGAGATGATACAAACCAATCTGTGACATCACTCTCTTTGATCCCAGTGTAAACATCCTAATTAAATCCACTGTGATTGAAACTGAGCGGGTCACAAAGGTGGAGGGACAGGTTCATCATTTTACAGCTTCCTGTGCAGTCTTTCCTGTCTTTGCTTCAGACTCACCTCCACCTTTGACTGTGTCCCCGTCAGGCGGTGAAGCTCCCTCATGTCCACTACATCGAGGAGGACTCGTCCATCTTTGCTCAGAGCGCCCCCTGGAACCTGCAGAGGTTACTGCAGCCTCACGGTGGCGCCTCTGAAAATGGAACATACCGACCCCCCAGTGAGTCCGTCTCCACACCTGTCCGTCTCTCTCTCTCTCACACACTCTCTCACACACTCTCACACTCACACTCTCACACACACACACGCGCGCGCACGCATACACACACACACACACACAATTATACACCAAACAATTAAAACCCAAATCCTCACGCGCTCTGTCGCCTGCAGATGATGGAGGGATGGCGGAGGTGTATCTGATGGATGGCAGCGTGCAGAGTTCTCACAGAGAGGTTGAAGGGCGAGTGCTCATCACAGACTTCAACAACATCCCAGAGGAGGATGGAGTCAGAGTTCATAGACAGGTCTCACACACACACACACACACACACACACACACACACACACACACACACACACACACACACACACGCACACGCACGTAGATGTTTCACTGATCCTCCCTCCTCCACAGGCGAGTCAGTGTGACAGTCACGGCACACACATCGCCGGGGTGGTGAGCGGGTCGGACTCTGGTGTCGCTCGCGGTGCTGGTGTAAACCTGGTGCGTGTCCTCAACTGTCAGGGGAAAGGGACCGTATCCGGGGCTCTGGCAGGTAGGACCCCCCCCCCCCCCCCCCCTCCTGTGTTGTCCACTGGATGTGCAGGTCTGAGACACCCAGCAGCTCTTTGCATACAGTGATTTAAACAATCGCTCGGGTAGGGAAGAGGATTAAGGTCACGTGAAAAAAAAAATTCTAAAATTCTGACTTTAAAATCAGATTTCTGAGATTAATCTCTGTTTAAAGTCAGAATTCTGACTTTATACTGAGATTTACGTCAGAATTTGGATTTTTCACATGTAGCCCTGATCCTCTTCTGTACTCAGGAGTCACTTCACATGAGAAGCTGGTGTGGAAATGGAGCAGCTGTTGCATGTAATTATTATATAAAGTCATGCCCCCCCCCCGTCAGGTATGGAGTATATCCAAGCAACTTTACAGTCCCGTCCGGTGGATGCAGTGGTCGTCCTGCTGCCTTTCATCGGTGGCTTCAGTCAGTCATTGAACGCAGCCTGCAGGAACATGGTGGCCAGCGGCGCCGTGGTCATCGCCGCCGCGGGGAATTACAGAGACGACGCCTGCCTCTACTCACCTGCGTCAGAGCCTGAGGTGAACCACTCTCCAGAGAACCCAGTTACACACCAGCCAACCTGCACACAACAACCTCGACCTTTAACCTTGTGTGTGTGTGCAGGTCATCACGGTGGGGGCCGTTAACGCAGCGGACCAGCTCATGTCGCAGGGGGCGGGCGGCACCAACTTCGGCCGCTGCGTCGATTTGTTCGCACCTGGAGACGACATTGTTAGTGCCAGCAGTGACTGCAACACCTGTTTCACCACCAGGAGTGGAACCTCTCAAGCTGCTGCTCATGCTGCAGGTACACACACACACACACACACACACACACACACACACACACACACACACACACACAAAGTAAACACAAATCAAGCTTTTATATTTTGGTTTGTACCTGTGCAGGTGTGGCAGCAGTGATCCTGTCGTCCAATCAGAACACGTCACCGGTGCAGGTCCTGCAGAAGATGCTGCATTACTCCATCAGCAACACAATCAACCTCTTCCCTCTGTCTGACACACATCGTCTCACCACTGCAAACCTGGTGGCAGCCATGCCTCCCGCCAACAGCACAACCAGTCAGTGACTCACAAAAATACACAAACACACAGTCAGACATACACAAAAATACACACAGACATACACACAAATACACACGCACATGTACGAGTGTGTACTTATTTTAGTATGATGTGTCCAGATGTGGAACTTCTGTGCCGCTCCGTGTGGTCAGAGAGGTCAGGGGTCGCGAGCACCAACAGGGCCGTCAGTCGCTGTCGTCAGGGGGAGGAGATGATGGGCTGCAGCAGCTTCGCCCCTGATGGTGTCCATGTGGGAGAAACCATCGCTGTGAGTTTTCTTATCGTCTCTAAAACAGCTAAAGTCTAAAAACACTGACGGCTGATGAACCTGCGTCTCTGTGTCTCAGGTGAATGGTGAGCGAATGGAGTGTGTCGCCTATAACCGTCCTGGGGGTGAAGGTGTGTACGCTGTGGCCCGTTGTTGTGTGATAGGCGGCCTGCGGTGCCAGGCCCATGCCAGTCCTGAGCCCGGGCGAGATGCTGAGTGTGTCGGCCCACGGACCCACCTGACCGGTGAGTCACATCTGCTGGAGTCTGAGTGACGCGAGAACATCTATCTGGGCCCCGTTTAAAAGAATAGATCCACATTTTAGGAAATAGGCTGATTCACATTCTTGTTGAGAGTTAGTGCGCTAATATCTGTATGCTGAATATGGAAATAGATCAAGGAGATGGTTAGCTCAGCCTAGCTTAGCACAAAGAATGTAAACAGGGGAAACAAAAATAATAATTTAAAAAATCCACCTACGATTACTGAAATGAAAACCGGGGACATTTCCACTTCAGTGGTCGATACATCATCAAAATATCCAATGTTTTTCCCTATGGGGGGCAGTCCTGGTTTCATGTATTTTGACCATGGTAACTGTTACAGTGTAATAAACTATGGTGAAGGACAACTAATAAAACGATGACTCCCTACCCTTGAAGCAGTCATGAAGTCTGTCTGTCTATTCCTCAATTATTTATATTCCTTTAGTTCATGAGGATCCACAGATCAAAAGAATCAAAAGCATTTTCCATAAAATGTTGTGAATATTGTCGTGTGAAGTCCATCGCAGACAGTCAGGCAACTTCTTCTTCTTAATTTCTTCAGACATAAAAAGCTATTTTTTGGCTGAGGATATAAGGCTTTGTGTATGTTTGTTTTTGTTAGTTTACTGCCTGGTGATGAAATCCTGACCAATGAGTCAGCCAGCTAACCTTTTCTCTGCCAAGAGACAACAACAAAAACATTTATTTTAGTGGATAACTCTATTTAGATGGTTTTAGCTTCACTTCTGAAGCTGCTATAGCTAGCAGCTAGCCCACTCTGTGGTCCAAAGCGCAACTCTAGTTGTCAGTTTTTAATTCACAGGTAAAAAGGGACATTTCTGGGGACAGCTCCAGTCAGGGACAGGGCACCAAAAACGGGGACATCTGGTCACCCTAACATAAAACCACAACTGTTGTTGTTACACTTTGTTTTTGTATGAATTAAATAGATATTACATGCATTACATTAGTGAGCATTAAAGCTGCTGGTACATAAATTCTGTTTCCTTTGGACAGTTTTTATGCTAAGCTAGGCTAATTGTCTCCTGGATTCAGGTTCACATTTAATAAGAGAAGAGTCTCATGTCATCCAGGCCCTGGTGCTGCGATGCTGAGTTGAGGTTGTAACTGAAGGACTGTGCAGTATATAAACTGCTCTTTCAACCAAGTACAAGCTCCATTTAGAACATTGCGGCTAATTATGCCAGTTACCATGGCAATCACCCAGAAAGGACAATTTACCCCCTGCCAGTACAAATATCAGTTACATGTATGTGTGGAATAAAGAGCAGGGTTTTCAGGTGATGTTACACTGACATGGTTCTTACTTTACATTTTTTAGTGCCTCTGTGTGTGGAGGAGGAGCTCGTGCCTGAGAATCTCTGCTCTGGTCTGTTTATAAAGTTTTGTTGTTGTTGTTTAAACTCATGTAAACTCGGCGCTCCCTCCTCTCCAGGCTGCACGTCCCGGTCCCCTGCTGAGGTCTCGTCCAACTCCCGTCCTCATCTGGGTGATCGGAGGCGGTGTGTGGTGAAGGACGGGGTCACGTCACACGCCGTGTGCTGCCACGCTCCGTCTCTGGAGTGCCACCTGTTGGAGAACATGTCAGCTGATAAAGACCAGGTGAGTCACTGAACACCAGAGAAGTGACTGATGATCACGTCCTCAGCTTTTCTTTTCTTTTTAAACTCATGGCTGCTGCTGCTCTCTCGCAGGTGGAGGTGTCCTGTCCCTCCGACTGGACTCTGACTGACTGTAACGCCGTCTCTCAGGGTTCTGCTCTCTTGGGGCCTGTTGCTAAGGGCAACAGTTGCCATGTCCGCAGTGCCACAGGAGCTGATGGGGTGGCAGGCATCGCCGTGTGCTGTCGCGTCAGACCAGCAGAGCAGCCCGCCACAGCTCCTCAGTGATCCGGTCTCACACTCTGACGTCAGCTTTGGGATCTCTCCTGCACAGGAGTGTTGGTGTCTTTGTGTGGTGTCCTGTAGGTCCCTGAACGCACCTCAACATCCATGTGTGACTGAAAGCCTGTCGTCTGTGAAGCTGCTGGTGTGTTCCAGTCGTAGGATTAGGTGAAAGTCAGCTCCAGTTTCATTAATGTCTAATGTTGCCTCGTCTAGTAAAACTCATTTTCAAACCACAAACACTTTGTTAAATGTAACCAAATATTTTTGTATTTTTTCAGATCAAGATAAATAAAAAGAGCTTTCCTGAACAGATGTTTTTTCAAAATAATGTCCCAGTTGCATTGATCTGATTTTAGTGAATACATGAATTTAAGTGATTGCTATGACAATAACAAAGTACATTTACTTAAGTATATTTCTCAAGCATCTGTACTTTTCCTGAGAAATATTTTTTTCTTTTGGAAACTTCTTTTACTCGTCTACACTTAAAGACAAATATTGTACTTTTGACTTCACTACATTTCTATGAAGGACTCTTACTTTGAAGCAGAGCTTTCAGTCAATGAATGACTTTTATTTTGAAAAATGTGATAAACCACACACTGTGTTCATCACAGAAAAACCAATCACAGCCGACTCCTCCACCGTCAGCCGCGTGTGAACTGTCAGCGTCCTAACGATGGCGACGTTAGATAAAGATGAGGCAGAAGATTCTTCAGCAGAGACCGTGATCTGATCTGAAGTCTGTGTTTGAAGCTTTACAAATAAAGACAGATTCATGTAGTTTGAAATGTTTGCCGAGTTTACCACGACCACACTTCATCACTGACTGAAAAACAACAGTGGCTCCTTTTGTTGATTCAGTTGTGTTTTTATGACAATTTCAATAAGCTTTGAAGCAAATCCTACAAGCTCTTTATTCTACAGGTTCTACAGTCAGTCAGTCAGTCAGTCAGTCAGTCAGTCAGTCAGTCAGTCAGTAGGTTCTGTAAATGTGGAACAATACAACAATGTGTTGACATGAAAATTTACTTTTGAATACTTCAGTATTTTTTAAAATCCAGTACTTCATTTGACTGATCACCTTTCCCTTGGAGTCAATATTTGAGCAGGAGGATCTGTACTGGGACTCTAGTAATGGAAACAGCTGACTTTAAGGTGAAACTTCCACTTCCTGCTTGAATAAAACACATTTGTCTGTCCTGAGAACTGAACTGAATTAATGTGACAATGGTAAAAAAAAAAAAAAAATATATGATATATATATATAGTCTGCCATGACAACCAGGCACCAATGCTACGCTTCAACCCTGGTTGTTAATGATTCACAGGGATGGATGACTTCAGTGTGGTTATCTATGTGACACTGCTGTGGCGCCCTGATGGCTGCAGTTGAGTTTGACTGATATCATTAAAGCTACATTGATATATCAGATTGATGACATGAGGTGGAGCTCTGTGTCTTCTCTCAGCTCACTTCAGTCTGCAGGATGATATGGGATGAGGTACTGAAACCTTGGAGCAGTCAACATATAAAAGGTACAAATGAAAATGAGCGTGCACCGTTTATGTTTAAGGCGTTATGAAATAAAGCAGTGGATAATGTGACAGTCTGTAAACATACATAAAAACAATGTTTACAAAAGGTTGTGCATTCCAGTTTATTTTATATCAAATTTCCCCTTAATCAAACTCTGATGTACAAATTAAAACTGAGTTTTAACATGCATTACAGAATCCTGCGATGGCAGAAGTGAATTTTCAAAGTTGAATGACAGTAAAAACCCGTATAGATGCCAATCCCTACCCACGCACTTCCCCAGCCCTCCCTGCACCCCAGGATTAAAACAAAAGTGTTTTGAAGTTTTTTTTTTCTTTTCTGTTTTTCTAAGTTGTTGTGTTGATGGAGCAGGTGGGGGGTGGGTGGGGGGTGGGGCAAACCTAGGGGAGACTCTCGGCTGAATGCGACTCGTATCGGCCATGTATCACTTGGCACAGACTGCATGCAGCTCCTTCAGACAGCACATAACCAGCCACAGAGAAAGGGGTGTGTTCGTGACAGGAAGTGCTCATGACCAAATTACACAGCAAACAACACGGGGGGGGGGGTGTGTTCTTTCTCTGTCACACAGAAAAGACAGACTTCACCACCACTTACTGCCACACATGCAAACGTGCCGGAGAGCACGACGTGACATTCACATCTAGTGAGATAGAGAGGGAAAATGGGAGTGGGGTGGTGGTGGTGGTGTGTGTGTGTGTGTGTGTGTGTGTTTGTGTGTGTGTTTGTGTGCGTCTAGAAGGGCTAAAACAGTGTCTTCCCTCACCTCAGGCTCTGAGGACGCAGAGGAGCCTCAGTGGATCGATCACACGACGACTCCCGACAGAAAACCAGAAAAACCAAAACTTCATAGGTCCTCACACTGTAAACATTGACCTGTTAAAGCTGAGAGCTAATCTGCTAAGATAGTGTCGGCTCATGTCTTTAGATCATCTGAGTGAAAGTGTGGCTTCCTTAAAACTATCGAGCATAAATCAGTATCTACAAAGTGTCTCCGCCCGAGCGCAGAGTGAAAAGAAGCAGCATTTTACCGTCATCAGAACTCTGTCCTGTCACCTAAACCCTGGTTTATTAGGGCGAAACTCACAGCCCCACCCCCACCCACACACACACACACACACACACACACACACACACACACAGAATCAACAACCAACAGTTACATTCCTACGAACCTTTGTCACAACACACAGAGGAAATCTTCCCTGTATTATTTTGGGTCTAATGGGGATGAAGAAGCCCTGTTGCACTCCTACAGCGAGACTATTTGGTGTCACGGTGAGGACGGGTGGAGCAGACGCTGACACGCCCCCTCAGAGATAGTGTCAGAGGAGGGACGGGGGAGAGGGAGATGGAGAGAGGGAGAGAGACAGAGACAGAGACAGAGAGAGAGAGAGAGAGAGAGAGACAGAGAGAGAGAGATCGGGAGGTTAAGGCACTTAAAGTCTCCCGATGACAGGGGTGTGGAGGATGGATACGCAGGCGTTGTTTGAGTGAAACTAGAGCTACATTTGGGTTCAGCTCCTCTGTGTGTTTCCAAAGGAAGACAAAAGCAAAAAGGCGAAGCAAAAAAAAAAAAAAAAACAAAGAAAAAGAAAAAGAAACCTGATGAAGCAGAGGTAACAGTGAGGCGAGGAGGACCTGTTCCTGTGTTTCTGAGCGAAGTGAATGACTGACACAAGTTCTATCACTGTGTGTGAATCTTTGTATGAGTGTGTGTGTGTGTGTGTGTGTGTGTGTGTAACCTTGGCACCTAAAAATAAAACACGCTCCTGAGCTCCCCCTCAGTTGGCACTGATGGCCCACCACGGCTGATCTGTGCCCTTCCAGGTCAGCTCGTCTTGCATAAGGCTTGAGTCCCTAAACATCCTCTCCGATAATCAATTCATCCAGAGTCAAAGAAAAAGTGGCAAAGAGAATAAAACACGGCAATGAAAAGAATAAAATCCAGCACGCGGCTGCCTGTCAGCGAGGAGGAGGAGGAGGAGGAGGAGCAGAGGGAGAGCGCTGACCATGGCACTGCTTGTTTCAGATTTGCTGAGGGCCTGGATCTGTCCTGTTTCTGGGACAGGGCCGGACCCGTACTGCGTCCCCATGGCCACACTGTGGTCACCAGGGGTCAAAGGTTAAGTCACAGGCAGAGTGGCTTGCTATCAGGGCCTCTGTGTTTTTGTTTTGTTTTTTTTTTTCTCCATTTTTTTCCAGTGGCACTGAAAACAGACGTTGTTAAAAGCAAAAAGAAGAGGAGGACATGAGCGTGAGGAGGCTCTAGAGGAACTGACCAGCGCTGCTCTACGTCACAATAGCCTGGGCTGGACTATAAAGTGCATGCTGAACTCCACCCCCTCCTAAGTGCTCCTGTGTGGAGGTGTTCCTGTACAAGTGCACATGTGTGTGTGCGTGTCTGTAAGTTCCTCTAGAGCAGCTAACGTGACCTCTCGTGATTTTGCATGGCTGTGAAGAAGAGCACAGGAGACTTTAAAATATTATCTTACACTGGAAATTACATCTATGGAACAAATCTTTACAATATGAATATGTCTATGTAGATACATTGGCAAATATGAGCAGAAAATTGTTAAAACACAACCCAAACCCATCCTCCACCTTGCTGTCATTCTGAGTGAATGAATGAATAAAAGGATAAACTGAAGTCATGCGTGATTGAGGAAGGTTTTTCTTTTTTTTTTTTTTGCACTTCCCACCGTGATCAACTCTGCTGCCCTTAATGATAATGCATCTCCATCATCGCCTTGGCTGCTCTGAAAGGAAGTGATTTATGATTTATTCATAGCTCCTTTGTTGCCGTAGCAACCGAGAGAATAAGTGTTCTGATTGGCTTGGTGTGGAGTCCAAAATGTCCCGACCAATCAGAGGCAAAGTGCAGCCCTTTTTCGCCCGGCTGCCCGGAGCTGTGCCGCCTCTCCTTCGGAGGGATCCTGCTGGTTGGAGGAGCTACGGGTCAACGTCTTCTAGATCGCTCTTCGAGTCGCCGAGCATCATGGGAGACTCTGACCCCTGGGAAAGACACAAAAAGGGCCTCGTTCAAAATATGAGAAGGGAGAAGTTTGCTCCTTTTTTCAGTGAGAAAAAGGAACAAAAGGTGACACACGTGCACGCCAGGCAGTGATGGATTATCACTTCAACACAACACACTCATTATCTGCAGCATTCACGCCGTCTTGTGTGGCGTGGGCATCGTGACAGGCGCAGCAGGAGTCAGAGAAGAATGGAGCAACGTGGGAGGTAACAAACTGCCTTTACAGCTCTTGACAGAAACCAGAGACATGTTCCATTTTTGTTCCATTCTTCTCCGTTTGGCTGCGTGGACCGAGCGCTGCTGTAACGCAGTGACTCATGGAGGAAGCCCGCTCTGAGTGGCGAGCTGTGTGTGAGGGTTACCTGTCGGAGGCTGCGGTCGGCGTTTTCATTTGCTGGGCTGCCGTCGGAGCCGTTACTGCTGCCAGACTGCTCCTTCTCGTTTAACAGCGCTGTGGCGTAGGCCAGGGTGTCCTGCAGAGAGAGAGAGAGAGACACACACACACACACACACACACACACACACACACACACACACACACACACACACACACACAACTCTCTGTGTGTGTGTGTGTTGTGCTGTGTGTGTGTGTTGTGTGTGTGTTGTGTGTGTGTGTGTGTGTGTGTCTTCTCTCTCTCTCTCTGCAGACACCCTGGCCTAGCCACCAGCCGCTGTTAAACGAG